GGTTTTTCAGACAGGCGGATTCCACCAGAGACCGGTTGTTACTGTCGAGACCTAGGATGCAACGGTGGAGAGTGTCGGCTATGGCTTCGCGGGTGGTTAGGTTGGAAAGGTGAGCTTTGTCGGCCATGGTTGTAATGAATACAAAGATTATTTCTGTGATTTGGTCTACAATACCTGAAGTCTTGCCACGCTTTATATAGATACCTCACCTGTGTCATTGCAATGATACGATCTTTCTCAGAATACATTATGTCAAACTGCAGGTGGAGTTACCGGGCTTAAGACGACGAGAAAATAACTCATTTTTCTTGGAAACTGGATTTACCGGAGTTACCACTACGGCTGTCTATGTCGAGATCTCGTCGACCTCATGTTCCCGAGTCTTGTCTTTTACATCGGTGCTTGCTTACTCCGTCACCGGCCGCTTCCGGAAAAGATGCCCTGCACAGCCACACTGCCTGCAGTTACATGCATCACGCGGATGACTTAGCAAATCTTTAGTCCTTGACGTGATCGTAAGAAGCTCAAAAGTGTATTCCTTGATGCACATGCAGAGCCGCATACCCGGTGAGAGCTTCACTGGGCCCTGGGCTACCGGTGGGATTAGTCCAAGTACAAATAGCAGGAGATTGAGACGCAAGGCAGACTGTGACCGGTCGGTCGACGACTCCGGACGGTATTGCGCGCCGTGTGGTATGGTTTGGTGTCGAGTATGAATGATAGCGCGTTGTATGTGACAACTGCGCTTGATATGGTTGTAAAAGGGCTAAGAAAGTGGTGAGGCGCGTGACGAAGCTAGTGAGGGTGGCTGCAGACAATGTGGCGGTGCTAGAGTGCCGTTTACCGCTTTTCCGGAGGCGGCCGGTTGTGCGACAAGGGAAGATTCTGTACCTGAGGAGAGCATGCAGTACTTGTACTTGTCACTGATAGAAGAAGACGATAGATAGAAGAAATGCTCTACGGTTGGAAAGATTTTCCCTGAGCATATCAGGGTGGCGCACAAAGGGTTGCAGGCTCATAGACGATGTAGCGCAACGTCTGCGCCAATAGTGCGGCATGTTAAGTATAGGGATATGTGAAGAGAAGAAGTGCACTTATGTATTGTGAAGTCATAGTGTCACTGCATCGTAGCATGATGGCGAATACTGCTATTTTTGCTTGGGGGCAAGGGTTCAGAAGGTGCTAGAGGGAGCATCCGATGCTTCATACGGCACTTGTATAGTACAGCAGGCAAAAATACCATATGTGAATGATGGCACCAGCAAGCGCAGAGTGAAGAAGATGATATCGTAACGGTACCTGCAAGGTCCTACCTAGGCATCTTTGCAAGGCGAAGACGGGCGAACAGGCGGTGGGCGTCGTGTAGGGAACATGAAGCGAACAAATAAGGGTCCGCCAGCGGTGGGGACGCTGCGCGAAGAAGGCGCGACCCGCAATTCACAGACGGGGCTCCATGCGTCACCAAGCATCTTTGTACGTCCAAAATGCCCGTTGTTGCCGCGCTATGTATACCTGCCCGGCCCTCGAATTCCATCTCGTTACTCTTGAAGCCGCCCTAGCCAACCGCCAGAGCTCAATGCATAAGATAGCCACTAGTCTGACACTGCTCGCCTGACCATCTCTCCCGTACCCAAATACATGTCTTACGAATACGACAGCCGGCACTACCAGCGCCCGCGCCATGACTCTCACTATACATCTCGCGACAGCACCGCCTATGCCTACTCGCGGCACGACCAGACTTTAGCTGAGGCTCGCGAGCAGCTGGCAGACATGCGCCAAAGCAACCCATATACGTCGTCCTACAACACCTACAGCGCCTACGAACCCCGCACTTCCCCACCCCGACAGTCGGCGCCGCATTCATACAGGCCGCACTTGCAGAAGAGGACATGGCCGCCGTCTCCAAGTGTCGAGGACGAGAGGGACGCGCTAGCGAAAGAGGCGCCCTCCTCCGTGGGGTCGTCAGGGCAGGCCGAGGGTGAGCCGCCGATCAACACGCGGGGCACCGTCGACCAGGACTCGCTCCTCGACGAGATTGAGCAGCCGAGAGTCGCACAAGACCATGACCGCCGCTTTGTGCTCGTGTCCGAGACCAGCCCCGACGACTATGGCACGCATACGACCAGCACGCTTCGGGACCGTCGCCGGAGGAGTTTTGCGGAGCGTGGGGGCATGTCGCACATCAACACTGACGTCCCGGACCCCCCTCTGTTCGTCGAACGTGAGAGGACCCCCTATGGCTATTCCAAGCCCCAGAAGGAGTCTACCGTGCCGTCTACTGCCGAGTACATGCGCTCTCCAGAACCCATGACCCCCTCGAGACCGAGACCGAGACCAGGTGAAAGCCGGCACAACTCCTACACAACGTCGCGATCGTCCAAGAAGGAGTACGTCTTCGACTCCGAATCCGAAACCGAAAACACGACCCACCTGCGAACCGAACGAAAGCCTGCGCGTTACAGCTTCGTCAAGAGCGACCTACAACGGGAGGACCTAAGGACAAATCTGCGCGAGACACACGAGAGGCCTGAATCGCATCGGCGGGATTCTGGACAGCGTCCACTGCCGACGATACGTAAGGGTGATTCGTCAGGCTCCTCAAAGGAATACTCGAATGCTCAGTCACCGCGCTCATCCTCGTCCTCGCTGAACAGCACAAGAAAATCAAGACCTGTGCCTGTCGACACTATTTACGCCAACAGTTCGCGCCCATTATCCAGACCAGGCTCACCATCGCAGCGCGCACCCTCGCCCCAACTACCCACACGCCTACGCGATTCTCCTCCAGACTCTCGACCATCCTCTCGCGGTGGCGCTCGACCAGCCTCTCCCCTGTCTTTCTCAACGACATTCCAGCCTTCTTCGCCAGGCCGTGGTCGGGTACCCATATCAGAGGCGGATTGGCACTCCACGTATCCTCCCGCACCTACCAGCGACAGATCAAGACAGCCTTCTCGATATGGTAGATACGATACCATGCCGCTTCCAAGGCCTCGAATCGATGTTCACAGTCCGTCCCCGGCGAGACAATCAAGTTCCGACTCTGCTTTACCATATCCCATAGACGATCAGCTCATCGATGTCTTCATGCCGCCCGAAGAGCACTATCAGTTCGATCACTCGACTGTTGGATCGCCAAGAGACAGCTATGTGGATATTCCGAGAGCGAGTTCGCCGTCGGTTCCTGGCTCACCGTATACGAGAGAATTGCCTTCGCGACCTAGGAGACAAGACCCTGAGATAGTAGAGGAGCCGGCACGTACAACAAGAACCAGATCGGATAGTCTTCGTTCACAGGACGGCCGCCGTGATAGGTCGTCTCTGAGGACTGCTTCTATGGACAGGCCACTCCCTGACTGCCCAAGATCTGTTAAATCTGGACCTTATGATGATTGGTATGCTTTACAAGGCCACAAGAACTTTAACATCTGTCCTAGCTGTTACGAAGGCGTCTTTGCTGGAACGCCTTTTGACGTGGATTTCAAACAGATATGGTTGGGCGACTGGCCAGCCGAGCGGGCCTGTGACTTTAGCAGTCCCTGGACACGTCTTGCATGGTTACTTACAGTAAAGCAACGTCGCACGTCACTCGATCTGATCTATGCAATCGCGGATATCATGGATTATGTAGTCAGTCCATGCCCTGGAGATCGTGAAGCCGGCGCAGAACGTAATGTCAGCTGGTACGGCATTCCTAATCAACGGGATGGCACCCACATAGCCAACTTTGCTATATGTTCGAGTGATAGGAGAATGATCGAGGCTTTATTGCCATCACTTCGGGGTTGCTTCACCAAGATTCCGCGTGGTTATATCGACTCTTCGGATACATGTAGCTTACGTACAAGCTCTTCTCGCTTCGCCAAATACCTGGACCTACTCGTGGAACTTGACAGGGAGGCTGAGTTGTCCGGTCAACTACCCGATTTGAATCGCTTCATCAAGTTGATCCGGGAAAACTCTTTCAAGGGCGAGTGTGCAAGGTCCAGGACTTTATTCCGCAAACCATGGCATTTTGTCCCCTCTCTACCCGAGTTTACAGTGTGTGAGCAATGCTATGATGAGCTCATCTGGCCTGCCACCCAGTCCAAATCCGTAACGTCTCCTATACCACACCTATTCAACAAGTCGATTCAGCTAGTGCCTGGTGAGGATCCAGATGTCGGATCAAGTTGCTGTCTATGGAGTAAGAGGATGCGCGAAGTTTGGAGAGAAACTCTTAAATATGATGACTTTTCATATCTCAAAAGCCAAGCAAGAGAGAGGAAGAGGGCGGAGGCCAAGTACATGAAGAACAGGAAACAGATAGCCGAGTGGCTGGGCGATGCACCAAAGGGAAGTAGGAAGTATGCGGAGGCAGAGGACGCAATGAGAGAACTAAAAAAGAGCTGGTACACCTATGAGTAACGTTGTAATGAGACTGGTTATCTACGTTCAATGAAGAAAACAAAAATATCATTACTACCTCTGCTTCATTGACATTATTCTTCCCTTGTCTGTGATCGGAGACAGCAAATTGGCCGATAAGCACAGCCCTTTCTTGAAAAGTGCACATGGAGGCTTGTCGATGGCGGACTGGGACAGCCACACAGTCGCGTCGTTGATGCAACCAAGGCGTGACAAAGCACATAGCATTGATGGGAAATGTGCTTCGGTAGGCATGACTACGGTTGAATAATACTGATGGCTCTACTAGCTGATACTTGGGTCTGACGATACCCTGAGGGTATCAAGCCAGCATAGTGATAGATATCAATGAACTTTGATAATGCACTGAAGATGTTTAGGATTGAGTGGGCCTGCTTGCCGTGATGTCATGTCCGATCGGAAGTTTAAGAGCGCAGCGGATTAACAAGATACCGAGCCTCGGCTCAACCCCAGCTTTCAGCTTCCGGCGTAACCCCCGATGACGACCCTCTACCCGTCTGTCGCGATGTTTTATCTCATCCTTGTTTGGACTCTATCTTCCTTTCCTGTACTATCTTCAAGTATTCAAGATGGATAACAGCTCTCTTTTCGATGTCAAAGTACGTCAACGTTGACATGGACTCTACCCTTTGCAATTGACAACTAACGAGTACATAGGGCAAGGTCGTTCTCGTCACAGGCGGTGCCAAAGGCATCGGCCGCATGATCAGCGAGGGTTTCGTTCAGAATGGCGCTACGGTGTATATATCGTCGCGCGATGCGAAGGCTTGCGAGCAAGCGTGCAAAGAATTGAACGCGCTCGGTAAAGGCAAGGCCGACTTTATCGCAGCAGATCTTTACAAAGAAGATGCCGCCAAGAACATCGCCGACGAGTTGAAGAAGCGAGCAGGAAGTATGTCTTCAGCATCTCGTCTTGAAGAGAAAGCATCGAGATCGCAATGTGGCAGAAACTAACAGATTGCAGAGCTCGACGTCCTCGTTAACAACAGTGGCAGCAACTGGGGCGAGTCCTTCGACAAGTATCCCGCCTCAGCATGGGATCGCGTCCTCAACCTCAACTTGAAACGTGTCTTTCAACTCACGCAAGCTGTCACACCCCTTCTCGAAGCCGCTTCTACCCCGAGCTCCCCAGCACGCATCATCAATATTGGCAGCGTCGATGGATTGCGCGTCCCTGCCCTCGAGACTTTTGCGTACTCCGCTTCCAAGGCCGGTCTCCACCACATGAGCAGAGTGTTGGCGAGCCACCTGGGCAAGCGCGGTATCACGAGCAACACAATTGCTTGCGGACCTTTCCAAAGCAAGATGATGAAGGCTACACTAGAGAAATTCAAAGATGTCATTGAGAGCGGTATTCCGTTAGGGCGAATTGGTAGCCCGGAAGATGTTGCGGGTACATGTATCTGGCTTTCGAGCCGGGCAGGTTCTTACGTCAATGGCGCTACCATTGCGCTTGATGGCGGCAGCGTTGTCGGAGCTAAGCTCTGAAAAAGGAGAGATAGATGCTCGTAGGCAGCAACATGTTTTCGTCCTACAACTCCCGATGTGACTGATTTCCACCTAGTGGCAACGTTCTTATTCGATAGCAAACGTCTTCCGCTGTTCCGTAAAGCATTAACTCTGACCCGTAGAGGACTGGCACTAGTGAATATTGTCCAATCCTAGATGCGATCATTGGCCTTATCTACAGAACTGTCGCAAACCTTCACATATCCATACGAAATGTGGTATATTGAATTGCTACAAGCTGCTACATCCGACCGCTATGTTGGATAACAGTCACGTAGCCTCATCGTGCCTTGCGGCAAAGTCTACTTTGAAGATCGTGCTCTACCTCGTACATGCTCTGGAATTAGGAACACGTCCTGATTCTGTGAAACAGCAACTGTTACCACAAACAATTTAGCAGGTAACGGAGATACCCTTGATAGGTGGACCAAGAGCGTAGCATTGGCCAGGCGTAGTGACGTTAGCAAACTGGGTGACGCTGGTGCAACTCGCGTCGGTCCAGATGGCCACTGTTTAGAATCAGCTGCTATACCCAGGCAATCTCCTTTTTTCTATCAGAAAGACACTTACCCTTGCAACCAACATTGGCGTAGTTTAGCCTTAAGCTCCCTTGGCAAGAGTCAGTGATGGCGTTACATCCGGCGCGAAGATCTCCAGAGCCGGCTATGTTGCAAATGGTTTCAGTGCAGCCAGGACCGGTGAAGCGGTCGACAGAGGCAACAACAGCAACCTGACGAGATGCTAAATCTGAAGCCGGGGAGGCAGTAGCCAGGCTAAGGGCGGCAAAGATGATGGTGAGGGCATACATATTGACAAGAGGATGATTTTGAGTGAGGGAAAAGTGGAGATGGAATGTTGTGGTTTTGAGCTGAAGATGAGATTCATGAAGAGCGGAAAGAGAATGCTTCTTTATACTTCTGCCCATCCCCCGAGTAATGCTAATTTCATTCTAAAAGTCTGATAAGGTGAGACACCAACAACTTTTTGGGACATTGGGAAAGCGTAGCAACATCCTTTTTTGTGCTGATGTTGTTGGTGATGAGAGCTTGGATGTACAGTGCTTCACGGCGTACCCCACGCATGACCAATCGTGTCAGCACTGTGTCAAAGCGGCTGTCAGATACTGGAAGCGATACTAGTGAGCTAGATAAGTCGATGTTGGTGTGTTCTAGCAAAGGATCTACTTGTAACATGAGAAATATGAGCTCGGGGATAGTCGGGCACAAAGAAAACGAGCCAAGTTCTAGGCAGTGCGCGATGTTCGTCGGGGCAATCCCACGAGTATAGGAGACTCCTGGAGATACAAAACGAATTGCATGAATCATCAAGACTTTTCACCTAATTTTACAGGTGGCCACGTCAAATTCATTCCTGAGAGCCGCACGATTGCTACGTCATCCAGCAAGCCTAAAAATCCAAAGGCTGTTGAAGACTGTAAGAATCAAGGAGTAAGACTGTAAGGCATGTTAGATATGACACATGGAGGCGCTCAATCGAGTTTAGCCGTGACTGTTTGGCTTCGACGTGGCAAGATTGAACGCGCGTCTGTCATGCATTCAGCGATGAACTGTGACCCAGAAAAACATCAAACCTCAAAGGATTTGAAGAGGGTCCAATATCTGATAGAGACAAAGTCCAGCGTAAACGTGATTGGTTCGTCGATACTAACCAAAGTCCGTCTTGCGATGTGGTTCGCATCCAACGGAGAGCTATCATTGCGTTGATCATTTGCTTGCTCTGTAAGTGGAAATCAGCTCGTGTGAGATGCTGATATCGCGGGAGGTTCTGCGACTTTAGCTAGCAGCCCGATGTTTTTAGCGTCTCAATAAGCTTCCACAAGTTAGGCCTCGGGTCACAAGCACTTGGCGGGCCGATCCTATCGTGTACTGCTGCTGACGCTTACCGCATCGCATTTGTGGCTTGCACAGTCGAACTCACCGGTTCGTGGCCCAAATTTGCATTTATATACAACAGATGTTATCCTCCTTCTGTGTAGGCAAACGTCCCAACAGGTGATCAATAGTAACAACATGATTACCTTGCGATGAGCCAAGCTATCTGATCTTTGGTTCCAGAAAGACTCTGAAATAAGTACAGTGGTGGGTTTTGAACCTAGACGTCATGGTGGGATTACCGGATAAATGCAGGTTCGCATCCTAGGCGTGCCTGTATATGCAGACATCTTACAAGACCAGACAACCTGGTTGTTGGAGACATGCAGGCAGTCAGCTCTAATCCCTGTATGCTAGGAGGGTAGAACGTCATCCTACTATGTATCCTCAGCCGAAGCGAACACAAGCTCGAGATCACTGTTGATAGTCACATGATGATCAGAGAGGCCTTAGTACACCTGTTGATCAGGAGAAGGCCCACTTGAGATTATCTCGGCTATGTATATATGCTTCTGTTAGATGTTCTTCCATACGCTGCCTTGCCTTGTCGTTCTCGTACTCCTCGCCACGCCTTTCCTGTAATCTCTTCTCCATCGCATATTTGCCGTGAAACGCAAGAGCTCTATTTACACGAGACCAACTGCTCCCTTGAATGGAATGGATCGGCTCCTTGACTTCTTGGGGATGTACTCAGGCTCTTCCTCGCTGCTAGCATCGACCTCTTTTATAGAACGCTTCTTCGCTCGCGATTTCTTAGCTTTAGGCTCAGCAACTGGAGCTGTAGTATCTTCCGTCTTGACTAAGCCATCTCCTTCTGCTTCTTCCATCTTGACAGTAGCAGATGCAACCTTCGGTGAAACAACCATCTCCTCAACCTGGTATCTCATGCCTGGCACATTCTTTGCAGGGAGTGGCAGAGAAGCGACATCTTCTGGCTTCATATCCAGTTCCTGTGCTGATTCCTCGGCCTTTGCCGTAGCTTCAAAAGCCTCAGCATCCTCTTCCTCCTTCTCTTTCTTCGCAACAGGCTTCTTGGCTTTCACCTTCTTTGGCTTCTTGGGTGACTCGATTCTACGCTCTGGCGGTTCAACGATCTTACGCGTCTCAAAAGTCTTGGTCACAACTTCCTCGAAGTCTACCGGAAGAGAACCAACGCCGTCGATTGAGTCTTCGCCCGCCCGGATCAACACTTGTTCTAGGTCGTAGGTGGACATGCATATCTCGTCGACGTTAGTCGTGCTGCATGAGCATTGAAGAAGGACTCACCCAGTGCTTGTAGACCATGGTTTCATGCTCCCCGTCGAACGGAATGGACAGGCCTAGCCTGAGTTCACCCTTCGTGATCTTCACATTCTTGTCGAGACAGTTGCCGCCACGGCAAGCGCACACTCGGCGAGCGACATCGATCTTGTAGAAGCTCACATCCGTGTACTCTTTAGCGTATTTCCGAGCGTCCTTGGCTAGGTCTTCACGTATGCCCTTGAAGTCTTTGTCGACAGGTTTGCCTTCTTCGAAAGCTAGCCGGACCTGTTCTTGACTCTCCGGGCTGAGTCGATCATAGCCTGGTGCCTTTGTTGGGTCGTCTCCGGTGATTTCCTTCAAACCTGCGATCTGGTGCTTGGTAGCGCAGCCCCTAAAGCCATATTAATACGTTTCGCTGACCACTACTCTAGGCTTCTAGGATTGCAGATGCATGTAGATTACTCACCAGTGGCGCCAGGCCATGTACCACCTAGTCGATTCTCCATCGTCGTACAGCGTATGAGTACCAATACGTAGTTCTCCTTTCACGATCTTGACCTTGTTGCGCTTGCAGGCTGCCTGGTTGCAGATCGCTTGACCACTATTAGCTTGCTCTATGGATTGTTAACCAGACATTCGAGTGAGAAATGGCGCTCAGAACCCACCGAGACGCCACTTAGGGCCTTTGTCGTCCATGCTGTCAGTTTCAAGGCTCTGGTGCGTGTGGTGCGGATGGCCAGCTGGAATGAAGTGATGTGTGGTGAGATGCGAGAGTACTGAGGCAGGTGCACTTGTTACGAGCAAACACGTGCTGCTTGGCAGCGAAAGAGGAGGCAGCGACAGCAGCGTTTTCTGGAAGCGACATACTGCTCACTCTCTTTTGATACTGACAAAAAGCTCTAGGCGAGGCCGAGGAAAGATGAGCAGTGAGACGATGTCAGAACCAGGTAGCTTTAGACATTAAGTTCCAAAAAAATGAGCTTCTTTGTACAGCTTAAAAACCGCCTAAGACCTGAGTACCCTCACATTTCACACGACGAGCTTTTTCAAAAAGCTCAAATACTATGAAAAACACGATGCAGTTGTTGAAGTTCAGATAAGCATAGCAATGAGTATGGATGCTTGACACCGACTGCGCTATGAGTGTACTCGAAAATAATTTTACGAAAAGGGTAAGCAAGTAACCAGCAATAGAAAGATGTGAGATTCAATTGATCTGCACTTGAAGAAAATGACACTCATATCAGTGAATGCTACCCATCCAGATGCTATGGCCAAGGCCCAACTCTGTTTGCTGCGCCACGCTCTCTCCATTCAGCGACCAACCAGAAGCCACTCACGATCTTGCGATCTACTTGAACTCCATACGACTTGTATGTTGGAGACCTCCGGCCAGAGTAGTAGGAAACCGATGTCAAGGTAAAGCTTTAGGTTTTCCCTCTCGATGAGCTTGGACAGTGACGGAACGGAGACGGTGCGGAGAAGAGCGGGGAAAGTCCGCAGGTTTTAGTCTCCACATGCGGGATGACTCCGACGTACCACCTGGACATCTCTCACCCCAACAAGCGTATCTGTAACTGGGAAAGTTTTCGAGAATCGTGAGTCACTTGTTTGATCGTAGAAGGGTATAAGACACAACACAAGCATTCTCAGAAGCATCAATTGCTTCGCCACACCTTGGCAATCTCGACCTCCTACCCCAAACATGGCAGAATCTTCAATGGATACTAAGCTATATGTCAGTGGAGAAGATGCCAGATCGTTTGTAACTGCAGTTCTGGTTGGCAATGGAGTCGCCCCCGAAAACGCCAACGTCGTCGCCAAATGTCTCGTAGCAGCCGACCTCCGTGGCGTCGACACCCACGGCATGAACCGGATCCCTTCGTACATGGAACGCATACGCCAAGGCGTCTTGAATAGCGCAGCAACACCTACTGTCACTCAAGTCACACCAGTCGTCGCCCAAATCGATGCCAACAATGGTTTCGGATTCCTTGCCGCCGATGCTGGTATGGCTGCATGTATCGAGTCTGCGAAGACGTATGGTATCGGCATGGCCAGTATTAAGCATTCCAATCACTTCGGTATGAGCGCTTGGATAGTTCAGAAGGCCCTAGATGCCGATATGATGAGTTTGGTATTCACAAACTCTAGTCCTGCGTTGCCGGCTTGGGGTGGTAAGAGCAAGCTGCTGGGTGTTTCGCCAATCGCGTGTGGCGCGCCTGGCAAAGACCAGCCGTTCGTGTTGGACATGGCACCATCGATTGCAGCTAGAGGAAAGATCTACAAAGCAAAAAGGAGGGGAGAGAAGATACCTTTGGACTGGGCCTTGGATAAAGATGGGAAGCCGACCGATGACCCAGAAGCAGCATTAGATGGCGGCGTAATGCTTCCTATGGGCGGCCCCAAGGGTTCAGGTCTAGCTGTAATGATGGATGTCTTCTCTGGCGTACTTTCCGGTTCGGCATTTGCAGGCGATGTAACCAATCCTTACGATCCGTCTAGACCATCGGACGTTGGTCACTTCCTCGTCGCTGTGAAACCAGACCTTTTCATGAGCTTAGATGACTTCAGAGAGAGGATGCAGATCTTGTACGACAGAGTCACGGGTGCTGAGAAGGCAGCTGGGGTAGAGAGGATCTATTTCCCAGGTGAGCTCGAGCAGATACAACAGCGGGAAAGAGAGCAGAGTGGCATTCCATTGGTTCAAGCAGAAGTTGACGCGCTAAATGCAGAGGCAGCAAGGGTTGGCGCAAAACCGTTAGTCGTGAAGCTTAGGGAGAGAGTATGATGCATGAAGATGCAAGAGCTTCAATTGAATTAGTTGGAACACTTTCAGAGGCCCATTGGTCATACGTGACCTCTAAAGTAACGATGAAAGTGGGGAGATTTGATGCGACTATAGCACGCAATCATACTGCTTACTCCTCCAGGAAGCTTTCGACCGTTTGCGCGTACCTTGCAGCGTCCCCTAAGCCCACCCACCCATCTCCCTCCTCATTGCCATCCGCAAAGGCAAAGAGGCACCCCATAACATCCCTTCCAACAATCGGTATCTCCTTCTGCATATCGCTCCAATCCCAGCCGACAATTTCCACTTGCTCAGTATCAAAGTGATGAACTTGAATCACTACTGGACCATCATTTTCGCTATTCTGGAAAGACGAACTCGTGGCTGACGTAACGCGGATCTCGCCATATTCGCAATTGATAGTCCAGGTGAGGGCCGGCGTTCCAGGAAATGGCTGGCCCCGACGAAACAGAAAGGAAAGTGTCGCGTTGGGAACAGTAAGCGGCGAGGGTTCTATAGCGGCATGTACGGAAAGGAGGTCGGGGACGTTTGATGTTGTGTTCTCAACAACCTGCATACTTTTAGGATCGCTTATGCGAACGTTGGGGCGCTGAATCTGTGTTTTAGAGCGGACGGATGCTGGATCGAGTTGGCCGACGACCGAAAGTATGGCGTCAAGCACTGCTACCGTTAGCACTAAACAAGTTTTGCGCTGATGAGGTGCCTACCATGACCAACACCTATCACGATCGGATTGCCGCCGATGTCCTTGTCTGCAAAGTATTTCAAACCTGTGGGTAAAATCTCCCTGTCCATCGTTCCACCGAAAGCGCGAACGTCGGAGCTGAGCACTTTGCCTAATCTACCTCTTCCACTATCCAAGACATCTCGCAACTTGACCACCGGTGGCGCCCAGCGTCTCTGCAGACCCACCGCAACCCTCGATCCACTCTTCTTCGCCGCTTCAATGAGCTCATTGATATGTTCTCTGTTGGCAGCAATTGGCCATTCGACGTAAACATCCTTACCAGCTTTGACACTTGGAAAGATCGTCTCGAAATGCTTATCAACCCGTGTATTGCATATTACCAAATCGATGTCTGGATCCGCCGCAAGATCTTCTGGCGACCCGTATGCCTTGGTGCTGTCTGGAAGTCCATATTTCTGAATTGCCGACTTTGCAGCGTCAACGCTGCTGTTTGACAATGCGTTGATGGTGATCTTCGAGCGGCCAGTTGCAGTAAGGAGAGCTGGAAGGTGGGCCGCCGAAGCCCACGATGTTACAGCTGAAGAAGAAAGCCCAATGAGCGCGGCACGAATTGGTTGAGTAGTTGATTTCATGGTTGCAAGGATGCCTTTGTAGATTTGAATACAGACCTTTGAGTTTGCCATTTCGTGATGCTTTAATTATTTCGATATCCCATAAGGCGGCTGCTTTGTAATGTAGCGCATTTGTAAGCCCGCATGAGGAAAGCGCGAATCGAAGGATCTGACGCTGTACTTCCAGAATGTCAGCAGACAATCAAAGAAGCATAGCGGCAAGCTGAAGACAACATGTTCCAGCAGTCAAATGCAAGGGCTGCGTCTATATCAGGCATCCAGTATCTTTTTCCTTATGATGTTTTGTCACGATCCTTTGCTTATAGATCGTTCCCACTCGCTGCGGACTCCTCTATCAAGACGTTCAGATACGTTCATTTAGAATGCTAACCATATCAGTAACGATACCAAGCCCTGATACAGGTCAACTGTTCGATGCAGGCTTCGTTTTTGGGGGGGATGTGACCAAAGGAAACTGTGTCTCATGATTATGCGTGTGGTAAACGCTATCATCACCACAGATGAACAAAGCTTGACAAAGATGAAAGGAAGCTTGGATCCTTGTCAAATATGCTAAATGTGAAGACCAGGTAGCTTCAGCCAAGAGTGTGCGACGACGTGGCTCGACTTCGGGAGCATGAAGACGAGTGGGCTTGCAGAGGCGCAGCAAGATTGGTTATAAATGCGATAGGTCCCAGGATTACTTAGCGCATGTTGTCCAGCTGGGCTCAGGGGTTGTGTAGTAGGTTGACATCGCCATGTGAGAGGGATCATTGTTCCAGCATTATATCTCCCGTCGGCATGGTGCACGGTACTGTCAGATTTCCAGCTGGGTTCTGTCAGCCATGAGTTGGGATGTGTTGAGGAAGCGACACGAGAGACGCGAATGCGATGATTTCATCGCGGAAAGTTTATTTGGTTCGGACATATTGGGCAACGTATGGGATATTTCACCGTGGATGTGCCGGCTGACGGATGGGGAAGCTAGTGGGAAAAAGGACTAGACGACACGCCACTATCGCTCTAGGGAATCGTGATGTATACTCCTAGCGTCAGCGATCATCTCGAACGGCTTCCCGCCGCTCCCGGCATGCTCAGCCCTGCATGTCGAACCAGTAACGATACAAAGAACAGAGTTCTTCTCCTAGGGTGCCATCCGTGGTAGCCTTGGGAGTGCTGGTTAGTGGAAACGGTTTGGCCCCTTTTATGATTGCATCTTGCTCGATAGTCCTGCATAGTCGGTGATGACTGCATTGTCTTTTCCTAATTTTTTCCTTTTACGAGGCTGTGGCTGGGAGTTGACCACTAGCTAATTCACCCCCTCCCACTTGTCTGACTTCGCCACGCTTCTTACGACTGGCCTGCCTCCCAACTCTACTTCTTCTCTCCTGGCAACCCTCCCAGGCTTCACCAACATGCCGGGCCCTATCATGTCATACAACAAACTGGCGATCGTCAGTGGTGTGTTTATTATCATATGCATTCTGATAATTTCGACGACAGCTGGACTGCATGAAAGCGGTTCCAAGGTAGTCGAGAAGATTAAGGAATCCGCAAAGGAGGCAGCCAACGATGTCTGCAACAACGACCGCCCAGTTTTTGGCAAGCCTACTATCAGCGACTCCTTCCTCAGGCTCTACGAATCCATACGGCACCCCATAGACGATCCATCGTATACCGACGCGTCGGGAAAAATACACGAAGTGAAAGAAGACGCGCCGTGGTGGCGAGAGCCACTTAGGAGCGAAATATTGATTGTGGACATCGACACCAGGGTGCCCAACAAGAAGAATGAGCTCTGGAATAAAGATCGTCTGAACTGGGAGACGATGAAGTCGGAGGGCGATGGTGGTATGGTCAGCGCGGCCTTTATGAACCACTTCTTTTACGGTTCGTACCAATTTGCCATTTTGGCGTCGTCGCTGTAGCACTGACATTGTACAGCGCAAATACACGGCTACGACTACCGCTTCATCAACGCGCACGACATGGAGGGAATGCACAACACCTGGGTGAAGCCGCACGTTCTCGACGCCCTCCTTAAGAAGTACAAGTTTGTCGTCTTTATTGACGCCGACGCAACGATAAGCCACCTCGAAGTCCCGATCGAATGGCTCTTCAATCGCTGGGGCATCACACCGGAAACCAGCATCGCCATGCCCTTCGATACACGACAGACGCTCAACGGCGACGAACACGCATCCGAAGATAGCCGCGGGAAGCTCGCCCTCAACACTGGCGTTGTTATTGCACAGTCCCTTCCACATACCTTCGATATGCTAGACGCATGGAAAGAGTGCCCGACTGGTGTGCGCTATCCAGACTGCAAGCGGTGGGCCAAGGAGTGGTCACACGAGCAGAAGGCGTTTTCGGAATACATTCGATACGATTTCAATCCGAACGGTACCAACATTGTCGAGATACCATGCAATGATGCGATGGGATACCCGGGTCTGACAGAGCATACATGGATTACGAGCAAGTGTACAGGCCAGTTCATCAGGCACCACACAATCGATAAACAGCGAACGAAACAAAGCACCGAGGCAGCTATGATGCAGAGCTTGACTGATTTGCTGCACCAGGAGTTGCATGGAAAGCGGGATACATACTTTGTCAAGGAGAGCAAGGAGAGCAAGAAGACCAGGGTTGGCGGGGACGAGCCTGATCTTATACGCCTCACGAGTAGTAGATGAGGTTTAAGGGAAAGCTCAGTCCAAGCTTAGCATGCGGGTCGGAGTTTTTGGGATATGCATTAATGCGGCGAGGCCAGCCGCGACCTCGATACGAGATGGCAGATATATAAGATACCCCCAACGTTTAGGTCGCACTGTTGTTAGTCATGTATTACGAATCAATGTGAGTGTCAAGAGGGTTCGAAACAGCCTTGTCAGTATAGATGGTCGATCGGGCGGGACTCGCATGGCATACGGGCCGGCGGGTGAACATATTGGAGAGGGGCCGTTCGCGCTAAGCCTAGAAGGCGCTAGTGTAGGCCCCGCTGCTGATGCACCTGCACGGGACCGAGGCACGACTGCGCGCCTGTGAAACGCCGTCGCTGACATGGCTCTGAAGCTTATAGCTGGCCATTGGCGTCTACTACCAGCCCCAGGACCCGTTCTCCTGCCCGCTCACACGATACCACGCAGACCATCATGGCGGAACTAGCCCCTTTGGAACACACGCCCATGGACGACATCGCGCCCACGTGCGCCAAGGTACGCGCCAGCTTCCTCTCGCACAAGACCAAGCCGCTCGAGTACCGCATCCAGCAGCTGCGGAAGCTGTACTGGGGCTTCAAGGACAATGAAGAGCTCATCAAGGAGGCGTGCAAGCGCGACCTGGGCAAGCCGTCGTTCGAGACATACCTGACCGAGATCTCGTGGTGCATGAACGACTGCATCTGGATGGCCAACAACGTGCCGCGCTTCGCAAAGGACGAGAAGGCGACCGACATCCCGTGGACAAACATGCCCCTCAGCCCGCGCATCAAGAAGGACCCGTTGGGCACCGTGCTCATCATTGGCGCCTACAACTTCCCCATCCAACTCACCCTCGGCCCGCTCATCGGCGCCATCGCAGCAGGATGCACCGCCATCGTCAAGCCCTCCGAGTCGGCCCCCAACGCCGCCGTCGCAATCGAGAAGATCCTGCGCGAGTCCCTCGACCCGGACTGCTACACGTGCATCCAGGGCGCCATTCCCGAGACGACGGCCCTGCTCGACCAGAAGTGGGACAAGATCTTCTACACTGGCGGAGAGGTCGTCGCCAAGATCATCGCGAAGAAGGCGGCCGAGACGCTCACGCCCCTCACGCTCGAGCTGGGAGGCAGGAACCCCGCCATTGTCACAAAGCACGCCGACCCAAAGCTCGCCGCCAGGAGGTTGCTATGGGCCAAGACACTCAATGCAGGCCAGGTCTGCCTCAGCCAGAACTGCACCTTTGTCGACCGTGAGATCGTCCCAGCTTTCATCGAGGAGATGAAGAAGCAGCTCCATGAATTCTACCCAGACGGCGCTCGGAACTCGCCCGACTATGGCCGCATAGTCAACGAGCGCCAGTTCCAGCGCATGAAGAAGATGCTCGACGCTAGCAACGGCAAGATTGTCATTGGCGGCACAATGAACGAATCCGACCTCTTCATCGAACCCACCGTCGTCCAGATCAACGACATGAACGACAGCATGGTCACCTCGGAATCCTTCGGCCCCCTCCTACCCATCCTGCCCGTCGCCAACCTCGACGAAGCCATCCGCATCGCAAACGAGATCCACGACACCCCCCTCGGCACCTACGCCTTTGGAAACAAGGCCGAGTTGGAACAAATCATGGGACAAACGCGCAGCGGAGGTGCCTCTCTCAACGACGGTTTCTTCCACGGCTCCATACCCACCATGCCTTTTGGTGGCGTCGGAACAAGTGGCCAGGGCGCATACAGAGGCAAGGCCAGTTTCGATACCTTTACCCACCGCCGGAGTGTGACTACCACACCAGCCTGGCTTGAGGGTCTCATGGACGTCAGGTACCCGCCATACACTCTCGCAAAACAGAAGAAGTTTATTGGCATGAACGACGTCAAACCCAACTTCGATCGTCAGGGTAGAGCACTTGGCTGGGGTGCGTGGTTTATGGGTCTAGTAGGCTTGAAAAGCTTGGCTGCTGTCGTTGGTAAGTAATGAATCCGAAAAGATGGAGAGAGACTATTCCACAGGCTAACATAGGTAGCGGCCGTCGCCATTAGGCTTTATTTGCAGCGGAGGGCAAAGATATAGGGGACGAGCTGTGGGGTGATGCATCTCGAAGACAGATGGTAGGGGGTGATATGTTTATACCTGGCAGTATACCTTGGCGATGTTCATAATCTTTCATCTTCTTACTCAAAAGACCCACCTTGGATTCGCGCATCATACCTCGCATTCCGACAACCGTGCTATTCACATGGCGAGACTGCTAGGCCAAATCTTCAACCACAACCATCTGAGACATTCTCCCGCTCCCCGCTTGTCTCTAGACTACTAGATACGCCCGGACGTGTCCAGCTCAACAAGCAAACCACCAGGTCTCACGTCCATCAACAAACTTTCTGCTGCAGTCGTTGTATATTACAATTATAGAAGCAAATCCGTAAATCGGACTAACCATAATTTCAAGTTCGCTAGTCAGCCTATCAGCAACTTTACAACAATGACACCGTTCTTCCTCAACGGAAAAAGCCCAAGGACCATGCAGCGAGAGCTCTTGACTAACGACTATCACGGTCACGAACACTACCGACAAGATACAAGTATGCAGTCAACTTCAACAGGACTAGGACGTCGAACACGCATCGTGCATCCATCCCCTTTCAGAAACACCCAAGACCCGTCCAGCTATGAGCGCCTCCCATCATGGTTTACATCACGCGGCTCTATATACCCATATATCCCCAAGCGTCTTTCAGCTTCCATGTCTGCTGCTGAAAGCGCGCACAGGAGTCTTACTTACGATTTCTACAAGTCACACTTTTCAATTTACTCTCTTGGATCAGAAAGATACAGCAATCGCTATACTACATACTATCCGAACTGTCAACCTGAATACCCGCTCGTCCAAAAGAGGAAGAAGAAGAAGAAGAAGGCGGATGATGCACATGTGCAGCAGGAAAGGGATGAGCTAGTGTTTGTGAGGACGAGAGGAAATAGAGTTGAGGATCGTGGATGGAGGAAGACTGAAAAGGAGGTACAATGGCTTAGGGGACGGCGCTGGATATGAGGGGTAAATTCTTGCCTGCCTTACTTGGCATTCGGGATCACGTCTCATCAGATTCACATCATCTAACGTATGGTGCTTGCCGTAGTCGTGTAGCCCGAGAGGCAATGTTCAGCATTGGAACGGATACAGGTCTTTAGGTCTTCTCTAACAGGGAATGATCTAGAATGTTTTTCACATCGTGTTGGGTGGTGGTGGCCTAATGGCATATAAGCATGCATTCCTGCAGGATTCGGCATGTGAGTACCGCCAAGTTGGTTAGGAAGATAAGTGGACATGGCCCTCTTAGTCTTACGAACATCTTCCATTTGTGATAAGCGCAAGGGTGATTGGGTTCTTAGCATCAGGGCTATGCCCATGTATGGCCTTTATTGTAGGCTTTGTAATATACAAGATGCTCAACCAAGATCAAAACAACATGGAGCAGGTATGTAACACATTAGTTCGAATGTCCCAACAATGCAATCTTCGTGAGTAATAGGATATAACTTATGTATGGCAACCGAAATATAGAGTGTGATCGCGACGTACTCTAGAGTATAAACTGTAAATCACGAATCGTAGAAGCATAAAGCAAGTAAACAGGGGTATCCGCCGTAAACAGTCGTGAAATCGTATCCTTCTTGCCCATACATCCCAATGCCGCGCTATGAAGAAAGCAGAGACGAAACACAAGAATCGGAGCAGAGAAGATTGGACAGTATAAAAGGGTATGCAAAGCGACGTGAAAATCTAAGATGCAGAGTGCAGGTTCAGAAGTGGGAAAGAGGAGCGAACGAAACAAGCGACTGGGTTATATTCCCCAATCACTCCAACCTTTCTTTAGAATGCGTTCAATGGATCCGACGACACCTTCGAGAAGCTCGCCAAGCCCATCGCCGGACTTGTTGGTCCACGGATCGGCAGGTCCACTCTGGTCTTCAAGCGGGACGCCACGAAGTCGGAGTTTGACCCAGAGAAGTAGGCTTACACAGCCTGCTTGACGACGTGCATGATCTGCGGGAGACTGGCGCAGGGCAATCGTATTATCGGAAAGGGCTAGGGTATCGGTGAGGAAACTTATGGTGTTGATGATGATCTGCGCATGCGAAAGAAGAGGATTTTCCGCTGTAGCTTCAATGATTGGTGATTGCGGCTGGCTATTGGAAGGTGCTAGTGTGTGTCGAACTGATGATGATGAAGCATGGCCTATGGAAGGTGCTGAAGGGGTTGTAGGTGCCCAGGCTGAATTGAAGATTGTTGACGATTCGGAATGACTCTGCCGTCGGCTTTGCTGTTTGGCTATCTGGTGTAGTCCTTTCGTTCGTGTGTTCGCTGCCACAGTGATGATCCACAGAACTAGAGCGGCGAAGAAGATGCTCATATCTGTACCCACCTCCAATGGCACAGAATCTCGCTGCTCCTCGACAGCTTGTTGCAGAATCTTGATTGATAATTTCAGTGCTTCCTTAACCGGTACACCTTCTGGCTCGCTGGTAGACCATAGCTGTGCGACCCATGTGCGAAGTGTAGTCTTGAGTGCAGCAAAGGCTTGTGGGGTTGCGACCTTCTCCGAGAAGATCCATGATTCGCTCGCAACGGCTACAAGTGCACGGATAGGGGTCACTTGCACCAGTTTTGCTACGAGAAGCATTCGTGTGGTGGCAGGCGCAGAATCGAGAAGAGATTCAAGGTTCGAAGCTGTCGAGGAGGAAATGTATGGTGCCGGGGTTTCGTTGCGATTGTAGTGCACGGCGAGTATGACAAATGATTGGAAAGTATCAAGAGGGCCTGTTAGAGACCTGGGAGTTATTTCGTCAACGTATGATGGTGTATAGAGATGCTGTTGGGCAGCCGTAGCCCATTCGGTCGAAGTTGTCGCATCCCAAAGAGAACGGTCTGCCGGCAACGGAATGTCTAAATGACAATCGTGGATCAAGGAAGGTAAAGATTCACGAGCGAGTAGGAGACGCTGCTGTGACTCAAGAACGAAACAAGACAAGAGCAGGCGTTGCCAGGTGGCTAGCTCGACCCAGCGAGCCCAATGGTTCGGAGAAGGGCTTGCGACCAAATCCGCCATCTTTGGAGTCATGCTCCTGCAGTTCTCAATAGCCTGAAATTGTCAGCTGTCTGCTGCCGTCTCGAATGACACTCAACCTACCTTGTGATACACTTTGTCAAAGCGCGACGACAAAACCTTAGCAGCACGTCGGGCACGGTACTGGGATAGTATCTCGATAAGAAACATCGTCTGGAAATCGCATAAACGATCTGGTTCCGTCGAAGCTTCGTGGTCTCTCTGCTACACGTCAGTCGAGATCAGTAGGACATGCGTCTAACCTACCCGTTCAAGCAACTTCAAACATCGGTCGTGGAGGTCTCGGCCCTTTTTCTTGTCGCTGGAACCGGTCGAGTACTGGCTGCCTATGGCGATCATGGCTGCGCGCAGCATCGGGGACGGATTCACAGAGGTAGATCGATGGACGACGGGGAAAGTGGGATGAAAGAGCCTCCAGTAATAGTCAAGATATTGCTCAAATGGATGGGTGTGTGCGATCGAAGCCATACCATATTGTTCGTCTCCAAAGAGAATCACCCCCTCCTCTTCGTCTCTTTGAATCATTGTCCGTGGACCAAAGTGTCCGTATCCAGCCATTGTATCCATACTTGTAGGGATCGACATAGCCGTCATTGGGTAGGAACAGGCATTCATGTAGGCGAGGTTTGAAGCAGTCGATCCTTTGTCGTTCGAACCCCATGTGAATGCCATGGTCGAGGTGGTAGACGCTGGCGACCGTGATTGGTATGACCATGATGGGTCGATAATAGATGCGTTCGAAGGTGTGCGCGCTCGATGGTAAGGTGCGCTGCCAAATGTGGGGAAGTCGGTCGATGCGATCGGCGATGCATACCCGCTTGAGGAGGAGTACCCAGGGGTGGGACTGTACGGTTCGTGCCATAGACCCGGTGTCATAGCATCCATGGGCACAGTCACAGCTGCAGAAGATCGGTTGTATTGTGAACGGGGATGCTTGAGTTGACTGGAACAGAATGAGTGTGCGTTCAAGTAGAGAATATGAGACGAGACAAGAAGAAAGAAGAAAGAAGAAAGAAGAAAGAAGTGCTCGATCATGTACAATGAAACTCACTTGGGGCTAGACGTAGTATGAGGTGAAGAACGAGGAATGAGACTAGAACTTGACGAGAGATTTTGAGGCGTTCCGGGAGTACGAAACGAAGCGTGGTTGTACCTTGTGAATGGCACCGTCTCCAGCATGGGAGATACGGGCTGGTAGTAGGAAGTCGTTGGGGGGTTCGACGTCACTTCCATTATGGGTGACGCGAGAGCGGGTATGGAGGCGGATATAGCTATAGACGCTGGCTCTGGTGAGCCCTCCGGACTCTGCTGGGGAGTGTCTCTTCCAGGCTCGTTGCTGCTCAAAGTCAGTATACTGTCTTTGGGAGTCATATCGGTTCCGCATACTGTCGTTCCTGATGCCTATGAAGAAGATCAATCCGGAAGAAGGTCTTGCCACATCCTGACACCTGACAGACAAGTGCGTCTTCTTGAGCATGGTTCTTCTGGTGCCGTCTGACATACGCTGTTAGTGACGGTTTGGTTTCTGATGGGGATAAAAACTGACCTTAGGTGCTCGGCCCGGGTGTAAGACTAGTAGTTGGTCAGCAAAGATACACTGCAGACATGATAGTAATATCTAGTGACTGAGCAGATACGTTTGGCTGCAACAAGGTACGGTGCAATACCTGCAGCTCATACGCAGCTAGACGTCTGCATCGTGGAGCTGACGGCAGTATGTGTATATTGGGACTTACTCTTCCGCAGTTCTCGCAGTTGTGTACTTTCAATCCTTTCTTTGCTTTGCTGATACGACCAGTCCGCGTGTAGTGGATTGATGGGTTGTGAGACGACATGTCTGTAGGGCTCAAGGCTGGCTGTTGCTCAGAGCGGGAGGAGCCGGTGTGGGGGCCGGATGGCGCTTGTTTGATGGTTCCAGGACGACGGCGAGGGCTAGCAGCCTTGGTTCCCTTGGATGAGTTGTTAGGTGACTGTGATGTTGTGCAATTTTCGACTTTGGGTAGTGTTGGTTGATGAATAATGCTGTCTTGAGGTTGCTGTTGCTGGTGGGTCTTCAAATCCAATGGGAGGCCTCCTGTCTCAGTGGGTTCGGACATGACGGACGGACGAGGCGATGGATGGTATATATCTTAAGTTGGAGAATGATGGGGCTAGGAAAGATCAGAGGCTCAAGTGGGGACGTGGTTAATGTGTGCTAAACGTTCCAGATCTAGTGGTACGACAGACGGCTATGAGCTAGTGATCATGTCTTGGACGAGTCGGTGCTGTTCCTACGGGGTGATGATAGGCAGCCGGGGGATAGAAAGTTGAATTAAGGAACAGCCGCCAGGGGAGACGACTTAACGTGGTGTGTAGTAGACTGGATTGGGAAGGAAAGCCGGACCAAAACAAGGCATTTGCGACGATTGTAGGAGAAAATGCTGCGCCCGGATAGGTTTGTGGAGAGGAAGAGACTGTAAATATCTGCGGGCTGTGCCTGAGCCAACCCCGAACGAGGAGCGTACTCGAGTATGGGGGTTGGAAAAGTGACGAGGGTCATAGACGCTGCAAGCCAACATGTGCAGGGTGTAGACATGGTGCTTTCCAGGGTATCCGCCATAGGCAGTGCATTGGCCGATCTCATAGCAAGTCGATGGCTTGAGCCCACGGGCATGGCTGCGGGCGTGCAGGCGAACGGTTCCGTTAGTCACACTGAGCAACAAGGCATCCGCGCACCAAAATTGGGACATGGGTAGGATGTGAGTGGGCAGTTGGAGGACACCGCTAGGCCAGGCTGCGGACCGTTCCCGCCTCAAACTTCACGCTGGATGCTAAGAGGAGCGTGGCTTGTGAGAGCCATGGGGGACCCGAAATAGAGACTCGCGTGGAGCATGACCGTGCTCAGCCCTCTTGCAACGGCGCCCATGCTGCCGCTTACACCAAGATGCAGCACCATCGCAATATGCTGTCATCGCGACGACACATGATGCCCCTTGCAGAGAAGGTTGTCGAGGGACGCTGAGCAATCGCGTTGGTGCAGGCGTCGGGTTTGCGATATCCGTCCCTGCAGTGGGTGATATGCCCGACAGTTTCGCGATGCCATGTAAGTTAATTGGTGGAGATGGCATTTGTTAGGTGCACTGAGCGGCAGATGTGTAGTCTCGCCTGTCAACCAGCCCTGCCGGGGATCCATGCCGCCAGAGTACATACAACACGCAGGACAACGGCAAGGCATGTCGTCACCGAATAACAAGTCGGCGATGGCAATGACGGCGAAAGCTGTAACGCATAGTTTCTGGCAAACGGTATTTCACCCATTGTCTTGCTGTATTCATTCGTCAAGGTGCAAATGTCCAGGGCGTAAGCACAGTAAGCAGTCCCTCCGTGTGCACATGAAGCGGCTTCAGGTGGTCCCGCAGTCCCTGACCCTCGCCCAATCTCCACACAGCAGCCCGCTATGGGCGTAGGGCTACTTGTGAGAGCGGGGGGCCTTATGGTTTAGCGCGTCCGCTCGCGCAAAGCTTGGGAACACGTCGACCAAGCTTCTCCAGCCTTTCAAGGCACAAGGCAAATGAAAGGCGCCGGACGACGATGCCACCCACTTTTGCATTGATTTGCACTGGCTTGCACAGGCATGGGGGACTGAGGATTTGATGAGGGTCGACGCGTTTTGCTTGGCACAGAGGGACGACTGCATCACGCACGTCACGTAGGCTTCACCGGTTTCCAGGGCTCAAGCTCCTGCATTTGCACATCGGAGAGTTGCAACTCAAAACCCCATGCGGATAGCTCCCCAGCTGGCAGAGCCGCCTTCAGATTGACGATGGCTGTCGACTGCACATGGGACGACCAGCTTGTTGCGCGTTTGGGCGCTGGCGAGCCTGACTGTCGGGCCAGGACCGCTGTCGGTTTCATGATGGCTCAGCTCCTCCGCAACCGAGACGATGGGTAATGGCGATGACCCTTGTAAGCACTCTGCAGACTGACATGGGCACACGAATCGCAACCTGTGTGGTGGGTTATATCCAGCAGCTATTAGTTTCTAGTTGGCGCGTAATCCAGGTTCAAGTCGATATGCTTTGGCGGCTCATGAACTATGCAATGCTCCGTCGGCGGCTCTCGCGATTCACTGAACAACAACCTTGTCCGTTCCGTTAGCAGGAAAGACCATGCCATTTGCTGTTTTAGTTCAAGCGTTGAGTGGGCGGGTCGGGTTTCGCTCGCTCCCACGATCTTTGCGCGAGGCTGCCAGCCGGCAGAAATCGCTTAATAGTACCACTTCAGCTTAGTGTTATGGGAAATGAACTGCAACGTCCCGCATGCTATGGAGCTGCCCTTTGAGCGCTTGTAGAACACGTTGAAACTGAAGCGGTGAAAGCCCAGCCGGATGTGTGTGAATAAATGACATTGTTTGCTCAATGGGGGCGTAAGTCGCAATATAGCCGGTAATCTTGAGGAATGCGAAACTCGATCCGGCAGGCTCCACGCTTCGGGACGTGTTTGAGTTGGAGGCCGTCAAGCTCTTGGGTCGCATCGGCTGATGAGCGCGCCTAGGGTGTCCAGAGACAGAAATCAAGCGAGATGACTTGACTTGCAGCTGTGGCCCCTCTCCACGATGCTGGTGTTTGTTGACAGGTGGCGGGTTATGAGCTCGATGCTCAATAGCCGTAGGGCTAGACAATCAACGTCGTCCGACAAAGACCTGTGCGCTGCGACATGACCAATCCAAGGCTCTCTGCAACGACGAGAGGGCCAATGATCACCGTTGACCCGTCCGGAAAGGTTCAAAGCGCGATGGTTTAGTGGGGGATGTTGAGAAATGAAAGGCACGTGCCAGCCGTCCGAGTTAGTCTCGTCACAACCATGCCCTGGTTGTTGTCCAAAGTCTAGGGAGGACTGCCTCGCGTGGAGCATCTTTGGTGGGTCAGGGTGAGACAGGAAGGTCGAGAGCTGTTTGCCGCGACCCGCAGATGGCGCGATTCAGGCGGCTGCTGTGGCTAGGCTGGCTCTCCTCCCATGAGGTCAGGAAAGACACCGAAGTCATCCCGGCGGTACTTTCCACAGATCTACAATGAATGGCTTTCCGCTTTGAACATCTGGAGATGGTGCACACTATCAGATCATGGTGATTGTGTCGCTGTCGCGCTCGCCGAAATGACGTACGAGAGCCATGCCGCGTTGGATTGTCGGCGTCCCCGCAAACAGGTCGCTGGGAAGAGGAGGCATATATCAGACGGCAGGACAATTCCAGTAGGATCCCTCAGGCTGCAGATAATGCCCGTCGCAACGGGCATGGCTTGATCTCAGGATGCAATCACGGCGAGGCACGTGCGCGCCCCACTTCTGTCGCGAAAGCTATCTGATTCGGCTGGGTAGTTGATCCTTCATCGACCTACACCCACCCACTGCCGCTTACTTGGTCTGCATCGGTCAATATTGCGATATGCAATACGCGCATCCGGGCAGCGTCCTCTATGTCGACCATCAACACATACCCTACCTCATCGTGCGCCAAACCATCACAGCCTCACCGCCATCGCACGGCTGTACATATCTATCTTTCACATCTCGTGCTGGGGGGGCAGTCACACCAAGCGCGTGCTCGAACAAGCCTAGTGCTGTTCCTTCCCGTTGCTAAAGTTAGCTCCTCCTACATGTCTAGCCCTCCGGCTAATTCTCCATGAGGCTGAACCAACAAAGTCTGCCTCGCCAAAAACTGTCATCACTACACAGCTCATCATCGCGACATCTGCATCGCTCGTTGCAATGACGGCACCACGGATACTAGCAATCAACTTTCCATCCCCGATAGAGCCGTGCATGTGCCGGAACAAAGCCTGCAGGCAGCCGCATGCTATTGCAACTTGTTTTGCTCTTGCACGTGCCTGGCTCCGCCATGCCCAGAATACCGTGCATCCACATGTCCCCTCGAGCCTGCTACTGTCTCTGGCAGCTGTCCCTCGTCCCGCGATACCGGCACTCACGGAGTTATACATCGTGGACTCTTGCCCTTTGGTCATCCGCCGATTGGATGAATAATGTAGAATGGGTAAGCCGTAGCCGATGCAAGTCCCCCAACCGCGAAACCTGTAAGCGCCGCCGAGCAAGCCACCACTCTCTCCTTCTCTCTCGTTACACCATCACGCCTCTTGCTTGGAATTTGGAGCCCTGCGCAAACTACGTAGCTCAGCCCTATGTGAAGCTCCTAAATCGAGGTATTGGCTGTGGCAATGCTTTACTTTTTACAATCTCTCGTCAGTTGCATGCTCAGCTCACTAACCTCCTCTCGGGTCACCATGTGTTCGGAGTGCATTGCACTGCTACTACTTGCTACGCTGCCGCCTGACTACTGCAGCTTACCTCTTTTCAATTTGCCTGAAGATGCTTCCGAGCCAATATACTGTGTTAGCCTGTCGCGACAGCCACTTTGGCCAGCTATTGGGTTGGGAACCAACTCAACTACACTATCGATGTTAGAAATCTTACCAATCGTAGTGGCAAGAGCCGGCGCTTAGATGTGCGTTCGGCCGAACTGATGGCCGACATAATAGACTGAAACTCTTGAATGCACTACCAGCGGTCGCAGATCTGGTCATTGAGTAGCGCATGTCAACGTAACGACAATACGACCACGTACGAGTGTATGGTACATAGTCGGACACTGACGAAGACTGACATGTCGGTCTATCGGCTACATATACGGTCAGGAGGAACGATAGGCCTTCTAAACGATGAAGCCTCTGGGTTGAGTTCGCACATGTCTCTGAACGGCGTTGTGGCTACATGTAACATAGTAAGACATTTTGATACTCCGACGTATCATCATCGGAGGCATCAGTAATGGTCATCACATGGCAGGAACGTTGAAGCATAAGCGCGCTAATGCACCGCAAGCAATACACCCCCCATTAACATAACGGTCCGAAAGAATTTTCATCATTTTTCCACGAAACCAACACATTATTACTATCGAGCGCCATGAACGTGGTCATTTGCTGAAGGAGATGTTATGAGTATCATGTTCCAAGCATTCGCGTCCCACGGCTACAGACTCTACGGCATAGTCGTGAACGTACGGCGAAGCATCTGGCCTCCAACCCTATCTCAAATACGGCGCAGCTATTTGTACTCAATTCTGGGGAACTTTTTCACCATCGTGTTTCAGTGTACGCAGGCCTAACTGTGGCTCTACGGGAACGTCCGCAACGGTGAAGCGCTGCGTTCCGATCCTTCATAAGCTGTGCCCCATGCGAACACGCCGCCGCTGCCGCTCTCCGCATCTTGTTCGAAGTGTGCCGCAATCAGGCCGACAGGTCCTGTCACACAGCTTTGTTCGGAAGTTCGAGCTCCGCTGTGCCGCAACGCAGCAGAAGTACATGACTATAGCAAAGATCGCCAGTACGATCATTGGTGCTCAAGAACGAGCTCGTTTGGGACAAATTAGACCGAGCAAAAACCTAAATGGACGGCTGTACCCTGCTCTTGATCAGGCGGTTCCTTCCCACCGACACGTCGCCTCGATATTGATCTGAGTAGAAGGTTTTGCTTCATGAACTAGACAAACCCGGTTCGCACGTTTGGATGAAGTTTTCCTCCCAACGATCTGCATGACGAGATGGAAACACGGCCTTGAGCTTACGCCATTTTCATCGAAATTACCAGAGTGCGTGTGGCAGATCTTCTAGACTGATAGTCGGCGAAGTAGTCCTACATGGAATATCCAGCGGTGAAGCTGATCAGATTTGAACATCTCGAACAAAAGACATCTGGCACCCTGTTTCACCCCATATTAGCGTAAAATTGATAGTCCTATCACTGCACAGGGATAGTCATACTGATATCTGTATTCATAGTATCCTCTCTTGAAGCAGTAACGCTGGTACGACGGTATCTCTTGCGGATCTGAGGCTCCAGATGCGGGCAATGCTGCAATGTATAAGCCTTCAGCTCGAACTGCCTTATCTTGTAGATACCGATTACACACTTTGCAGATCGTGCTACTGCTGATCCTGTCATTTACTGTGTTTACTATCATTGCGCTTTTCGTCGGGCCCATGTCTCTAACAAGCAATATGACACCTACAAGCTTACTTATGTGGTGCTAAATCCCCGTCAAGAATTCTACTTCAACCCGTGTTTCCATTAACAGCGTCACAGCTTTTCTTAATTATATGTAGATCCAACAACACCACCACAGTTTCAACTACGTTCATTGCGTCCTCTAACTCTCGACTCGTCATCTTCTTTCCACATGGTGATGACTGTGATAACAAAAAGCGCTTCTTGGGCTGTATCTGGGTTATGATGCTCATCAGAGCCTTTTCATGGATGCGATTTATCCTTGGAGTGATCACTTTGGCTGTGCGACTGAGGAATGAAGGTATGTTTTTTATCGAATTTTGCGGATAAACTGACGTGTAGGAAGGATCCGTACATGTGAATACTGAGCAATTAGACACTACAACGTATGATATGTCAATCACCCAATACAGGAGAAAAGCAGAACATGTAGAGATAGCAAGCTCTAGTTTGCAGCTTACACTAGTTCCTCACAGGAGAGATAATAAAGATCAATACTATTATAGACTTCTAGATTCTGAATATATGTCTGTATAGCTCTAATACGCTTTGTTGTAGTAGGAAGGAGTACTCTACTCAAATCAGATATCTAGTTTCTCTCTTTGGCAGAGTGAACTAGGAGGTAGCAACTCGGTGCTAATCAGATGCCGAAGCTACTTCTATGTCGAGATTTGTGACACTCATCCCGTCTTCCGCTTCGCTATCCCGCACTAGAAAGGTACAGAAACAACAATTCCTACCTTACATCCTACACTATATTCTAACAAGGATACTTACAAATATAAGTAGAACAGTAGTCTATTAGGTGTTCTATCTTATCTTTATTGCTCTTATTATGCTCTTAATATGCTCTATTGTAGTACTAACCGCATTCTCATTCGTCCGTCATAACTACGTCGCCAAACCTGTACTGGAGGAAACGCACTGGTTCTACCTCATCTTGTTCTCCCGGAAATCGCGTACTCTGGAGTTATTTATCGTCCTTCAGCCGTTCGGATCTTCTCGGACACACCCTTTGCCTGCAGTTAGGACATAAATTGAAAAACTTGGAAATACCGTTGATCAGGGTACTCAGACAGCCGTAGTGGAAAGTGTGGCCACAATCTATCTTGACCGGGACTTTGCCGCGTACAGTCTCATGAACGTTGAGCGTATCACGGCAAATCGAGCAGTCTTCTTCAGGGAGATCAAGAATATTGGTGACAGCGAAGGCGTGCTGTTCGGTCCTGATAGTGGGGCCGATAGGTTCGAAGCAGACTTCTGGTAGATCATCTGGATCAAACTCGCCGTCAGACTCGTACTCATTGTCCCATTCCTCGGGTAGCCAGATCTATGTGTCATCTTTCGCAGCGTCGGGTTCCAGGAAGCAATCTAATCGGAGCACGAAGAGCGCTGTTCGTACATGACCGATACACACTGGTCCAAGCGCATCGATAACGTGCATGAGAGCGTCGACGAATTTTTTGAACATGTCCCAAGGAAGGCCAGTATAAGAGGGTTGGTCCGAGAGAGTCGCAGCATCCCATAATAGTAGCCTGGCTGTACCACGGACATCACACGATGCAAGTTGCTGACGTAGTGCTAAGGGCATCATTGTGAAGGGGTCGGAGACCAGAACGCGATGATGATCCACTAGTTCGTTGAGGTACTGGTTGAGAGTGGGATTATCGCCCGAGAAGTTTCTCATTTCTTGGTGATGATCAATCATATTCTGGACCAATCTGGCAAAGACAGCAACTCCACTCCTGATCGTCTCGTAATCATGAGGATTTGTGGTAATTATCCGAGCCATCTCTGGGATAGTGTTGGCGCCCGGCAACTCACGTGCCTTGAACTGAGCTTGGAGGTCACCCCGAACATCATAATAGCGCGGCTGAGAGTTTATGATATGCATGATCCAATCCTTGAAGTCGGGTGATAGATCCATGAGCGTGTCGCATACTAGTATGACGACGGGCTGTACTCTCAGACCACGGTAGTTGACTTGCTGATTCCAGAACTCCAGACTGCGTTTGGTTGGATCTTGAAGCAGGAGAGCGTCAATGATTGCCACTATTTCAGCCCAAATTGCTTCAAAATCTGGCAAGACCACTTTGACCGTCCCCATGGGTAGGCTCGGCAACTTCGACTGCAATTCTGCCCATTCTTCTGTTGCTGACAGCCTGATGATCAAGCGTGATGCATCAGAAGTGGCGGCTTGGTATGATAGATATGAGTCGAGCAAGTCGCAGTAAGAACTTAAAACACTGGTTGTCGCCTCAAAATATCCCCGTAAAGAACTGAGACATGTCTCTAGACGAGTCATTGGTAAGAGTATCGGGGTAACAGCTACCGTTTCCATCTCCGCCAGGTTCTTGGAGGATCTAACCCTTCTTCAACTGGAGTGTTAGGGCGAGTGAGCCTTCTAACTGAGCTTAAGATTGGGTTAAGCAAAAAGAACCCTTTACAGGCAGCTGACTTAAGTGAGCGTCGCGTGGTAGGAAAATTCTCTCTTTCACCTTGTATTGCACCGCTTCGTCAAACGTATAGGCGTTTGCGCAGTGCCTTTCTTCACTGACAGCGCAAACGTCTCGAAGGTGCCCCCACTCTCACCTGAAAGAATCTGGTTATGCTACACTTTTGGCATTCTGCTTAGTATCGAAGACGCTTTGCATGCAGCTGCCATGACTGTGCATTGAAGATTGAAGGTTAGCATCAGACCAACGGATTGTATCTGTACTCACTGTAGTCTTGTGCAATAACCTCTTGCTTCTTTCACAGTTCATCAATCAGAGAGGCCTGTTGTGCTAATGTCCAACATGCCTCTTCCAATACGTCTTCAAAAAGAGAATGGTCTCCAAAAGGGCCTGTCGTCGCTAACCTTGCGGTCTTTGAGCGACTCTCAAGCTAGTCATGAAAGGCTCCCGATGAAATAGGTCCTGAGAAGAAAAGCTCGGATGTCTAGCCCCATAAGTGGAATACGAAGAGAAATCGCATGCAGTGTGTGCTTGAGCAAATTCTGCCGGTGGGCTGTACTGTCCGAACGAAGAATCAGCTCTCCATGCTCAAACTATTACGTAGGTTCTTGCTCCCAACATTGTGATTGGTGATTACCTAGCTAGGAAGCCAAGTCGCTGTGACTGATACTGCATGGCATGTATTCTGCTCAAAACACCCCTGGGCATAATGGTTGTGTCCCATATTCTGCGCTGTCAGGAGCGAAAGCGCCACGTCGTCTCGCTTTCGGGTTAAGGTTGAAGCTAGCGTTGATGATCAGCATCGGCTAGGAAGCTCCGCGGTAGGGTAATGACGTTGCCAGTTAAAACCTTTCCCTTTCCGCAGTCAGGCACACCAAAAACAGAGCGACTAACGCCATGCAGCCAGAACGCGGGTTTCCAACTTTCGCATCATCTTTTAGGCAAACTCGATCTGAATGCGGGACGCAGCGCCGTCGATCTCAATCAGCCGGATCGACGCATGAATCTACCCGACTCGTTCCATAGGCATATGCAGTATCGACAACATGCCGATTTCCAGACCTAATCCCAGCCAACATCATAGCGCAATCGGCGAGTTCACCGAATTCTATCTACAACATGATGACATAGGTGTCGCTAGAACAATCAAATACTGTGCAAACTTGGCACGCTGCAATGAAGTCAGCCGGCAGCTGGGTCTGATGTCGACGAGCCTCAGATCAGCCCCTGTTCATCATCCGCGTTCGGCGAGGACTAGCACAAATTCTCCGTCCTACATCAAAGCCGACGCTATGATTCTACCTGCCGATGCTGCAAGCTACTGCATAGTGCACCAAGATATGCTGCGTCAGTCAGACGAAATTGTCTGATATCATTACCCAGACATTTTCCCATTCGTAGGAGACAGTCTCGTCGTAGACACTTACTTTTCAGCCATATACTATGAAAATGTCTGGATTTGTAGTTGTACTCCATACAGTTCTCATGAACTTTCTCAGTAGCTCATCTCACCATGGTCCTCTTCTGGTCACAGCAGAACTCATTTGCCATTGTGGCTTGATCAGACCGCCTGAATACTAGCCGTATTTACCGATCGAAAAACCTCCTTTCTCATCGCGATTCTTCACCTTAGTTCCGGGGTTTTGGTGTTGGATCTAAGCGAGTTGCTGGCCTACGGTGTGGGTATATGTGGATCATCCAGGCTATGCCGAATACCAGAATCCGATGAGCCTGACTCGCATTTACTCACTTGGTTGAGAAAGCCATCAGGCTATGATGGAGCAGAGTAATCAGATGAAGTATGATTGGATCGCCGTGTCCTCCCGCACCTATCTGTGGATCTGTACAGACATCTCGTTTCGACTAGGTTTTCCCCAGTTCTAGTTGCTGATCATGATGACAACCGTCCAAAACGGTAGCGTAACTCAATTCCTCGGCGACTGTGCATGAAGATCATACTCGAAGTGGAAAACTTCAACAGATACTACCCGTGTTGAGCCTATCAAGCTGATGGGTACACTTTGAAGTAGCTGCGCGAACGGAAAGTGTATAAATCCACCTCGCCGTGCAGACATCTCCAGCTCTTCAGCCAGGATCATCTTTGGTTTCTTCTCCTTCCCTCTCTTCAGATACACGAATCTGTGTTACCAGAATCATGAGGTTCACTCAAGCAATCACTCTGGCATTGCCAGCCATCACTGCCGCCTACCCTGGCATGATGGGTGCTAGCTCCCGCGCAGAGATGGAGCAGTACCTTCGCGCGGAGATGCAACGCGAACAGCTTGCAAACCGTGCCGCTGAAGCTCAGCTAGGTGGCCTTCTCAGCCCAGTCGGCAACCTCTTGGAGTCGCTTGGCGATATTGTCGACGGACTCCTGTCCTCAGTTGGCCAAGCTATTGTCAAGCAAGATAACAAGCGCCCCGAGCCTGGCTACGAGTTCAAAGCTCCCGGTCCCAAAGACTCCCGTGGTCCTTGCCCAGGTCTCAACTTGCTCGCCAACTACGGATACCTCCCACGCGATGGTTATGTCAATTACGGGCAGGTTCTCGAAGCCACTGCACGTGGTTTCAACATGGGTACAGACCTTGCAACGGTCCTAGCCACCTTCGCTGTCTTGGGAAGTGGAGATCTCGATGGACTGTCTTTCTATCTTGGCTCAGGCAAAAACGGAATTGGTGGTCTCAACCGCCACTCGGTTGTGGAGGCTGATGTCTCGCCCAACCGCGAAGGTACGTGATTGCAACATCAAAAAGGCAGACAGCAATCACTAACGTTGTAATAGATTATTACCTTGGATGCGGTGATAACCATCACCTCTCTTCCCGTCTCGTGAAGCAGATGGTCGGGTATGCTGCCCAGGACCCCAAGAAGGAGTTTTCCATGGACGTATTGGCCAAACACTACGCAAAATCGGCTGGTTTCACCAAGGATAACAACCCTTTCATCTACTACTTCCCGTTCCCTCAGATTGTCTCTCTGGGTGCCTTCGCCTTTTACCCACAGTTCTTCTCCAACGGCACCTACGGTGCAGGCGGTGTGCCCAACTACAAGAGCATTATGAGCATCATTGGCGCAGAGTATGATGCGAATGCCAAGGAGTTCAAGTACGCCCCTGAGCGCTGGCCCGAGAACTGGTACCGTCGTGATACTCCTTACGGCGCGGTACAGGCCATCGCCGACGGTTTCCTTCAGATATATCCCCGTAACATCATCGTTCCTGGTGCCGCACAGGTCGGTACAGGTAAATTGTCCGTCCAGACCCTACTCTGCGACGTATACCAGGGTATCAACTCTATTACTCCACTTGTACTCGGTGGTACTGAAGAGAACATCTCCAAGGGCGTCTCGTGGGCTCTTTCCGTTCTTGATCCCATCCTTAGTAAAACAGCGCTGGGCTGCCCTGACAGCGTCATCTCGCCCAACTTCCTCTACCCCAACTCTCAGCAAGAAGGTGGGCCGGCCAATCCCCCTAAGGTTCCATCCGATGAATGGACTGGCAACAACGTGTACAACAAGGTGTACTTCGGCGGAAGCTCGCCTCCTACCAATCCCAAGTGCAGCCACTCCAGCTAGAGCTCTGTTGGTTTAATTGAGAAATCTTTGTAATACTTAGCGATATACCACTTCTTCTACTCTCGTTCTATGTACAAGGATACATATACATGTTAATGAAAATGACTATCAATGACATCATTGTATTAGCAGATTATATACTATGACTGGATTATATCTCTGGCTTCCTTGTCATCGAAGTATTCTACCAGAAGCGTATGGTATTGCACGAGAGTTCATGAATTATGTTTCCAGAAGTGCATCGCAGGGTTTATATCGCTCGTAGCTTCAACGCCTATTGGTTTGCTAGCAGATGCGTGCATAAGGCTCTTACAGAGCGTTAACAAAGAACTCACATACACCAAATCATGACTAGATGTGAAAAACCATGGCGTCGCGAAACGAAACCTTGAAATAGACATAATCTGTCACGTGGCACTGTTCCGTCGTTACGACCATCGCCCATCCTTCTCAGCGAACGGATCCGATGTCAAGTATGATATGTACCACCCCGGACTTGTGTTCTACAAAAGTCTATTCTCAACTGATCTCCGTTTTACCTTGCAAGCCACGTTGCTCTGAAGCAAAAACATCGCATTATGCGTCTTCCACGGCCCATCGTGTGCCATCTCTACAGTAAAATGAAGAAGTATGTGTTGTACCAACTTATACATCTCAGCATTTGAGAGCTGGAATACTATCATTCGATGCGATGCTACATTGAAATACGGTTTGCGACACTCACATGCCTGCTGATGCAGGTTCTGGTGCCTGCGCCAAATACAAGCATCGCTTTTTCCATGAGCCTAAATCGCTCCTCACTCTCAAGCCATCGTTCTGGACGGAACTCTCGCGCGTCTTTGCCGAAGATAGTTTCATCAAATTGCGTGACCATTGCACTCATACCGACCTTGGCCTACATTAGCAATCTTGTGGTACAAGAAGTACGTGCGATCACTGACCTTGAAGGAAGCAGGAATATGATGACCTAAGAGCTGCAAGCCACCGACTGGCACGTAACGTGCCATAGGCACAGCAAAAGGTGGACACAGCCTTAGTGACTCCTGTATCACAGTTCTGAGGTATGACATCTTAGTAG